CTGAGCCCGAACCCAAGGTTGAAATCACAATGCATAATCAGAGTAAAGTCCACTTCGACTTGCTTCAAGTTCACTTAGTAATCGACTTTGCTCTAATAGATTCTTTTGTACTAACCTAATAATAATATCGAGTTTCGCAAACATCATTGAAGATCCCACAATCCGTGCAACAATGTTACTCGTCGATCAAAGGAATTCGAATGTTCTCCTATTAAAAAATCAAGGTTATCACAGCGGATTATGTTGCATAGCAGTGAGGCACCACTAAGGCTATTTGGGGCTATTACAATAAAATAAGGCAAAGAGCGCAAAGTTAAAAAGCGATCTAATTTAAATATGTACAAGTATTTTAAAAAAATTTAGAAAAGTTTAAAAATGCATATTTGATGATTTAAAGAGATCCTAAGTATGAAATAGACATGTAACTATCACATAATATCGAAGAGGACCGGAGGAGTTGAGAAGTCATCATTTTTTAGAAGATGAGATGAGCGGTAAGAGGACTACAATAGGAAGAGCTCACGACGAGCGAAGGTGAGAGGTGTTATGACGGTGAGAGGAGGTGCGAGAGAGGTGCCAGAGGCAGTGGGAGGCGCTAGGAAGATACTGAAAGTCATGGAAGGTGGGAGGCAGTGACCTTTTTTAGGGCTAGGATTTTTTAAGAGTTTGATCACGAGGGGGAGCCTCAGAGAGGACAAAAACAATGATTGGTAATGACTTCAAACATCAAGTCTTGCGGATGCTGGTCAGGTTTAATTAAAAAAATAAAGTGGAAACCACTTTTAACTAGCTGTCAAAAAGCAAATTTTATTCGCAATCATCGCTATCCACCGTATGAGGCGCTATTGACCGTTTTTGCGAACAGAAAGTGCATATATCACTGCTATTGGGTGATACCATTGTGGAAGATGGCGCTAACACTATTAGCAATACTATTGCAGTACTATTTGTTGTTATTTATAAAAGTGATAAAAATCGAGATCGAGTTTTCTCTAATAATGGGAGATTTGATGCAGACAACTTATAGGGTCACAATTGTTATGGTTGAAATAGGAAACTTGGTTAGCATTACAATAATGTCGTTAGAGTTGTACTTGATATTTGATTAGATATTTAGTTAGTTGATTATTTTGTTTTATTAGTTGATTTTTTTTTTGTTTACTTGTTGTGATTTGTTGTTAGGGTTGAGATTTATTTTTAAAACTAGGTTTCTTTACAATTAATATGTATTCTAACTTTAGAGATAGACATTGATGAATGAAAAAATATGAGTTTGAGAAATCTCTCTTTGAAGCTATGAGTCCTTAGACGTGAAGCGAAAGTTTAACTTTTTTTATTATCCTTATCCTTAGTTTCTCTATCTCAAATCATCTATCGCTCATTTTCTCTCATTCCTAGTAGCACTTCCTTTCCTCTCTGATGCTTATTTCCTATGGCCTACAACCACCAAAAACTCTGCTAAAACCATCTCCAAACTCTAATCCTTCTTTCAGCCATCAAGCCAGACTAAAGAATGTCCTTTGACCTTCTCTAAAGACCACTTCTCCTACCACTTGTTAGTCTCCAATTACATTCTACATAATCAAAACATCCCCCCATTGCAGCTACATCATGTTTAGATCAGACCCCTTTCAATCCGACCCTCATGAGCCTATCCTCTTACCAAGAATAATTATCTACAAGCATGTGCATTCACACATCAACATACACAAGTTGTTCTTGTTTAAAAGACAACATAACTCTGTGGACAAAAAAAAATAGCATGCTAGGTAGAGCTGTAATAAAAGAAAATTTATAGTAAACTATAAAAACGAAACATAGTAAAACAGTAAGTGAATACCGCTAGTTAGCGACTCAGTATTCCTTTTTTTAAGCATATTTAGTCTTTAATATTATATAAATTTGTGGGAGAGTTTTTTGTATTCTTTAACAAGATTTTTCTCTCTTAGTTTTGTTCATCTAAGAGGAGACTAGATTCTATCTTGGTTCATATTATAAATTGTAATGTTTGCCACTCTCTAATAATAATTTTTTGTCTCTGAATACTTTAACATAGATTGTTAGATATTTGCATCCATATTTGCATATCCACCACAACTGTATAAAACATTTCAAACATGTTTTATACATTTCAAACATTTAAGCTCGTGTCCTTCAGAGAATAAATTGTTACTTGACATTTTCCCCCATATTTTACATATCTGTTAGAGAATTTGATCTATTAAACAATCTACTAACAAATATGATCTCTATGATCAAAGATTGTTATATTCTAACTACTCAATGCAAGCACTTGATTCTGTATGTCAATACTAAATTATGTATCTCAACTTATTATTGCAATTCTTCCTATAAAAGCTAGTGGAGATATGAATAGAATGATCGACTCCAATTAATTTTTTAAATGATATCAAAGCCAAACCCCTAAGGTAGAGAATCTTCCAAAACCTCGAACCGCAAAGGCGGTTTGCATGCTCTTCCCCTTTATGGCCCAATGAACAACAGAACTCATCGCCATCGCTTATGTTTATCAACTCAGTGTCGTCGTCTCAATTCATTTGCCCACTTTGCCTGCCATCTCTCGTTAGCATTTTCCATAATCATATCTCGTTGCCTCTAGCTTTTGATCTTGCTCTCAAACCACTGGGTCTCTTTGATCAAAATTCGAAATCCAAGTGCCAATCATCTTCTTCACCTTATCAGATTTCGATTCTCGGTAAGATCACGTCGTCTTTGTCGAGATCTAGTCTATCATCTCTTGTTTCTTCTAGCAATAGCATCCTCATTTATTTCAGGTAGGTTTTGTAGCTACATCTTTATATAATTCAGTCTATCATCCTCAAAGGCTCGACCAACAATGACCTTCTTGCTCGCAATACTTTTGACAAACAATCTTGAAATCTCCTAAACCTCTAACTAGTCATGGGTCACTATTTCATATTTTCAGAGAACTATCCTCTAAAGTTTGACAAATTTTCAAGTTATCTTACTGCATTTTGGAAGGAATACTGCCCTAAATTTCACAAACCACATTGAACCTTGCATAATTTCATTGAACTTGTGTTTCGACTCATGTTTATGTACTTGTTCATGTAGTCTCAACGATCTCTTCTTCATGCATGCACTTATCTGGTTTCTCTTCTTGCACATATCTCGACGATTTCATTTTCTCACACTTACTAACATCGACATTTTATTCTTACACGTAGTCATATCGACCTCTTGTCACGTGGAACCTTGTCGATCTTCTTTTTCATAGGTAGCCTTGTCAGCGTTATTTTCTTGCATGCAATCTTATCTATCTCCTCTACCCATGTCTCATATTCAATCAAGGTTTTAAATGTCGGATGTCAAGAACATGTCGGACAACTATAATTCATGCCAAATTGAGGAAATCGGGGAAATTTAGGGGGATATGTAGTAATTATAGGATTGTCATAGCACATGGTGTTCATACATACAATATAATGTTCTAAATGCACTACTTAACAAAATCTATAATCTAAACGTACAAAATGTAAATAACATATGATGTTTAGAGTCACTAACCGATTCGAGAAACTTGCTTCTTGATCGAAAGAGAAAGAGAGCGCAAGAGAGAGAGAAACCCTTCTTTACTGAAACCCCAATCCGACAATGAATTACAGCGGAGAACGCTAAGTTGATTTTTCCCTAAAGAGTAAGCAAAGGAGCACAACAACTTTTTTTTGGGCACGATTTTGCCCTAGACATGGCTATCGGGTTCTTTTAATTGGGAACACAACTAAATAAACTAAGTTTTAGTTTTGGGTCTAAACCCAAGACAGTATGAATAAGTTAATAAAAATTAGCATGTCGGTTGATATTTGGAGGCCGACATATCGCCCGATATGTCCGATATATACTGACATGTCCCGATATTTGTCCCCCAAATGAAATACACCTTTGGAAGTATGATATAGTGGCCAATGTTTTAATTATCGGCCGATAAACCGATATTATCGACAATTTATCTATTTTCGGAGCATTCTGCTATGATAAGTTCGATTCTAAATCGGTCATTGTTTTTGAATGTTTATCACCGATAATACGGTAATAAAGTGAGTTATCAGTGATATTGTCGGCCCAAAAATCAGAAATATTGGCCTTTGATTTGAGTTTCGATTTTGGGCAGCGGACACCTTTTCAGTGCACTTAAAACCCGACCCGACCCGAGTTTCTACCATTAGTTAGTGATGCTAAACATAACTATTTACATTTTTATGTGTATATTTCATTAAGTATGGTTAGATTATATTTTAGATTATTATATTATGTATATCACCATCCGGTAATGTCACTCCAACAAATATTACTTATCCATGATATATATTCGATATCCGTTATCCGATAAATCCCCAATAACCGATATTTAAAACCTTGATCGTGGAATTGGAGCTCCCAAACCGACATGTTGGTCGTTATGTCCAACATGTCAGTCGCTATTTAAAACCTTGTGTTCAATCTACATTGGCACCGAAGGTTTCTTCATACACTCATCAGCAAGCTTTACTTCGGTAATAACTGCACTGCAGTTTGAGGGGGAGCGCTAAAGAATCTAATCTATTAAACAACCTAGTAAGGAACATGATCACCATGATCAAGGATTGTCACATTTTCCTTGTTCAACGCAACCACTTGATTTATTATCTTAACATCTAGATTATGTATATCAACTTATTTGATTGTAATTCTTCCTATATAAGCTAGTGGAGATGAATAAAATTATGGGCGCTAATTATTTTCACATTATGAAACTTTGCTAATTCAGAAATAGAAGTTCCACAACTATCCCATGTAAATCATATTCCATCACAGACAAAACTATAATGTACCTTGTATTAAGTTTGATATGCAAATAACTCAAAAATAATCTACATATAGATTCTACACATAGGCACAGGAAAACAATTATATCATAGCAAAACAACCTAGATAAGGAACAATATTTGATAATAAGAAAGCGAGCAACATACAAATACCTCTAGTTTATCCTCCTTTGCCCTATGGGTTCGTGGAAGCAAACGGAACTCTTCAGTCAACCGAACACATTCACCAACGTTTTCCGGCGAAACAAAGTCAAGGGCCATTTTGATGCAAGACTGAAATTTAAATAAGATACATAACTAATAAGCATTAAGATCCTAGTTTCAAAGGAGATTATGCAATTAGATTGCACCAGCAACTTACAAAACCTAGTTAAATTTTGAGATAACTAATAACCCTTGTATACGCATAAGATCAAGTCGAAAGTATCATGAAGTAAAATCCAACATTCAAGAGATTTTCTAGAATGTAAAAAGACATAATACATAATAATTCAAAGAAAAAACTTTTTCTAAAAATTTTGACAAAATCAATTACATAGCATCTCAAGTAACAAAACCAACCCTCTGAAACTCCTCATAATTCCAACTTCATCATAATACAAGGAAATTAAAATATTTAAGAGAATAGGAAATAGAGTGTGCTACTGCTATGGAAGTCAATAGAGTTGTTGCTGAACATTGGTGTATAAATTCCTGAATTAATTAGGTCCTATGTTACCTAGGTACTTCTATTAGGAAGCCATATCCCTACCCGACACTTCGCCGTACCCATACCCAAACCTCTTGGACACGATATATTCATAGGTTTATTCGGGCGTATATACCATTATATAATACATGATTTAATTTAAAACACTTCCAATACACTTCTTGGATGTACATTCTAGACTTCACATCTATTTCTCGTATATTGATCTTATGTATATTATTAATTTTAATACATATAAATATACATAACATGCATATATAAAGTCATTTCCCCGTACTCTACTCACAATTTTGCCGTGACCCGTAACCATATCGATGCCACAACCGTACCTGTACCCATGCAACCTAGATTAGGCCGCAATTTACGTATTAATTAAATTCATATTCAAAATGTTATCTTAACCAGACATTTAGCATACAAAACTGAATATCAAAAATTGATGAATCTTTGATGGAATATGGCCCCCCACGAAAATGAATCATCCTATTGAGTACGCCAATTTGGTACCTACATCTGCTGAAGCAAGATTTGACAGTAAATTTCTGATATAAAACTGTCATATGACAAAACTGCTTGAACAACTATTAGGATCAGAACATGGAACCACATGAACTTCCAGGTAAGACTTTTCTTTACTTGATGAGGTAGATAAATTTTTGGTAGTATCAACTAATTGCAATTATTTGAAACAGCAACTGCAACAATATAACCTACTGCAAATCTCACCATTAGGTAAAAACTTTCCTAGCACTTCTACTCTAGTACAGCCCCTCACCAAAATGCATGCCTTGCACCTGTGGATCGACCCATCTGCTTTATCTTGATTTTGAGAACCTAGGTATTCCCAATAGTCTTGCATCTTGCAGGAATGACCATTCTGATTTGGTGAGCCTATTTCATCAGGCATGTTGCTCTCCCTGTCCCTAAGATGAGAAGGAAAAGATTCCTCCGATTGACTGGAAAACTTGGTGAGCTGTCTGTAAGTACCTGGTCACCACTATGATGAGCAAGAAATATCCTTCTATATGCTGTTACACTCACTCACTCATGCACCCATCTGGCTCTCCTAAAAAAGCATAAATTATTGGAGACTTAAGAATGCTTTGGAGAAGCATACGAAGATCTATGCCTTCCTTTCCCAGTTCTCATATGAAAGAGAAGTGTGTAAATCGTCAATGTTCATGGCTCATAAATCATATAGAGTTGAAAGTGATGATTCAGAAAGCACATGGTTAAAAACATGCATATCAGTCAATAATGTACCTCTCTAATAAGATATCCATAGGTTCATTCGCATCATCATGGGACTTGCAATGTCTAGAAGCTTCCCATTCTCTCTTGGCGCAACATTTTGTTGTATATATGTGGAACAGTCAGCTGTAAGACAATTCTATTCTCATCGCTAAGTATTCTAATTGGTCAAACAGTTAATGTGATCTTAAGAAATCCGCTCTTCCAGCATTTGTACGCAAGATAATTCTCAACCTTGTTATGATGTTCTAAGCAATTCAGTATGTCAGATTTGTAAGAAATCAGATATCCATGATAAATTCATCAATGCAAAATGATAAATATGATGATCAATTCTTGTGTTCACATTCATTGGACCACAAATATGAGTGGATAAGTTGTTGCGCAGACATGCTCGCTTTTTCAAAAGGTCTTATTGTAGTTTTGTCTACAAGACAATTCTCACATGTAAGTTACGTAACTTTAGAGACTTGATTGCGAAGCACACTATGAGCTAATGTATACTTCAACCCTGTTTGTGCTACTTTAGCATGCCAACAGAAAGGTACTCAATAGTCGCAAGAAAACAATTGCATCAGTAAAATTGTTCAGATCCATAAATATTTTGTGTTTAAAATACCATAAGAAAAATAAAGTTAAATTGTAAGTTAACATCTTGGTTTCACTTTGGAAAACAATATAATTAATTTGCTTACAGATAAAATATGATTTTCCTCTCTTGTACCAGGTCATCTTCCAATCACAACATGGTACAAAGTATATTATGTTTTCACAATCGAAACATGACAGTCCCTCATCGCCTCACACCTACTTGCACCAGCCATCCCAGATCTGTCGCTGCCAACATCTATTGCTCTAAAGCTACACTTCATTCTTGCATGATGATTTTAAGGAGAAGCTCAACATAAGTCAGCCACCAATTATGAGATTCAGAGGGACTACTAAAATTTGTTGTCTCAAGAAGGTTATCCGTGGCTTAAGCGGATTCTATAAAAACATTTGAGAACTTTCGTACAATTTATGCTCATCCTAAGATGCTATTCTATTGTCACCAGAGTATCTTTTGTTAAAGTTGTATGCGAGCTTTTTATGAAAATTTTGGTGTTTTAAGGCATTTTCTTGGGACGAAGATAGCACAGGTCCAGGATTATCATGTTCCAGAGTTTGATAAGTAATAGTTTTAAAGCTATCACATACAAGTTTGGTTTTTAGACGATTGTCGTGATCTTACTGATGCTTGTATGAAGACTAAGTTGAACAACAAGGATTAATAAAAAGTGCATTAGCTCATTTCAATAAGAAGATATCCTGCTACTGCAAATGAATGCCATGCTATTAGAAGAAATTATTAATTTGCTTGTGGCAATTGAACAACTTGAAATGAACAGTAAAACTTTCATAATGCATGGGAAACAAGATCAAGCAGGAAGCAAACAACTCCACCAGGAATGCACTCAACAATGATGTTCACACTGGAGACAAGTTGTCATCTTATGGTGCTTGTAGGACATTCACTATTGAGGACAGAGAATCCAAATAATTGATTTGCGATCGTAAATCCAGAAATTTTAAATTAATATGATGTGGAGGATATGTGAGACACATGCATCAGAAAGAGTATTCAGACTTCATATCAGTATTTTGTACTTTTGACAAACCATTAGAAGTGATAATAAGATTGAGGATGTTATGAATTTGATCAAGGACGCCTTAAAATTCAATAAGTGCTTTCAGAATATGCTCCTTTTTCCTAGTTTTCTATTTTTTTAACAAGGGAATTAAAGGGAGAGTTCCCAATATCTTATGTGCCCATACATGCTTCAAGATAAATCGAAGAAAAAGCATGTGTCTATCCGAAAAGAGAGACATAAGAAGGATATGTAGAAATAAACTAAAATACAGGAATAGGAAAGGTTAAATATCTGATCGCCATCTATATTGCAAGATTTGGCTCTTAAATAAGGATATAAAAGGACTGTAGAATTCCAATATTCAAAATATCACCCTCGCCAATAAAGTGAACTGGTTTTCTCCGACCTGAGGACTATAGAAAAGCTGGTAAATTTTGTTGAAATTTCAGTCAGTAGAATTCGGTCTCCCAATTGCTCGTTTAAACAAAGCGTGCATATGTGATCTAGAACCCAGAAAGAATTAGTATGACAGCAGTAAATTTCCCGTATTCGGAAGTCAAACATTCATGTTTGGGTCCATAATGGGACTCGTTCTATACTGTTCTATTCCAAACAGTCACAGAATTTCCATATTATTTATGAAATTGAGACATTTGTCAATTTCATCTAATATGAATTACGTGTTGTATAACTGAGTCATTTGCACAATAAAATTCACATTAGTTTTGGATTTTAACAACTTCAATATAAATATCAATAGCAAACGAAGTGCGCTACTTCCCTATAAATAACAGATGATCCAAAGATAAGAAATCATGCTTCTTGAACTTGTGGCCTTTCATCATCATTCCAATTCAATTAAATTGTCACTATCAACTCGGAGGCTTCACAAAATCTTGTCACCGTCCTAAAGCAACAAGACCTCCACTAGTGTTATGTCACTGTGTTTGTTATTGTGTCTCATAAACTGGCATTGAACAGAGAAGAGACGCTACTCTACTAAGTTTGACTTTCTACTTTTTCTGCCTAAAGCACACCACTGTGAAGTTAATGGCTTAAGTAAAGCATAGAAGCCTAATCTGAGAATATTTTATGGATTAACAGCATAATGAAGCAACATCATGTAAAGGATCTCTAAAATTTTACTTCCTCCTACCTAGTAGACAGAAAAATCAAACAAAACTAGAACTTAAGATTATTTACTAGAAACACAAAGCTTGTGTACAGGTTAAGAACTTCATGGCAATAAAAGTCACACATGCAACAGAAACCTTTACTGTATTTGTACATAAAAGCACATATCGAAATTGAACCCGACATATTAACACTGAGATCAATATCAACAATCAACTGCCAAACAATCAATGGAGCATAAATATGAATGCTAAAGTGAACTACACACAGGTTACATCGATAGAGTCAAAAAATTTACATCTTGCAGTTGTCTGACCTTTTTATTTCTCAATTGATATGGGCACCCAGCTGGAATGAAGACCGCCTCTCCAAGATGCTGCTCAAATGTCCAAGGTTCCACATCTGCATGTGAACATAAAGTAAAAGATAGTAAATTAAGAATTACAAAAAAAGAAATCCACAAAATATGAAAATTGCAACCTATTAGAACAACTACCTGTACATAGAAAATCTTAAACAACAAACTATTTGTTAATAAAAAAACACTTACTGAGCTCTTCTTTAAGCCGCTTCTTGTGATACTCATTTAGGTAAAATGTCTGATCGTGAATAGGATGAACAACCTGTATATATATGACTGGGTTATCATATATTCTCTCATATATAATTCTAAGGTAGAGAAATATATTCTCACCGAATCAACAGGACGATTACTGATATGTCGAAATTCCTTCCAGTGTTTTTGAAGGTACTTAATTAACTGTGGGACATCTTGCCTGCGGAATATGTCCCAAACAGCACCTCCATGATTGCCTTCTAAACTGCTCTCCGCTTTTGAATCATCTTTTGCATCTAATTTTACCGACTCTGGCACAATTAAAACAGGACTGCTTGAGAGAATTCATACCTGACAATTTTTTTTCCTTTTGAGAAAAGCATATACAGTTGAAACCACAAGTACAAGAGCCAGATAATGGGTAAAGTTAACGGAATTTTGCAGTAGGTAACAAAAGAGTTACTTCGCTCTTGACAAACCTGCAAGATGGATTTTTGTGAAAGATATATTATGTGATATTGTAGTTTCACCAAGCTCCGTGCTCGGTAACGAACAAGGTACTTGATTATTAAATTGATCACCAACATGAACATTTTTTCTCAACACCGAACTTTTATGCAAATGCAATCTTTGGATAATAAAGTTAATACATTCGGGAAGAACAAGATTTAGGAAATTATCATAGCTTCGTGAAGATAACATACCACCATTGTCTGTTATTTTTCCTTCAAATGAACTAGAGATATCCTCAGATGCACCATTGACTCCAAACTCCTCAACCTTTCCAACAATATTGATCTCTGCAGCCATATGTCCATCGCAGGGTGCAGGAATAGGTACTATAAGATTAAGCGTTTCATTATCAAGCATCCTTAGCTTTTTGCTCATCTGGAGACCCTTTATGGATTCCTCTGAATTAGGCTCCGGCACATCGAGTGGATTCCCCGTAAGCATCTCATCAAATGTCAAACTCTGCTCCATGCCCTCAAGAGGTTTAGGCATGGCTGGTGATGAACCCTCAGTCACTTTAAATGGAGAGCCCAAAGTTCCAGGATGTTTATTTGGTACATTCTTAGGTGTGGTTTTACAAACATCTGTATATAGTTCTTGCAAGTCCTCATCTCTATACCTTTTCTTCAACTGTTTTATCTTCTCATACTGCCAATCAAATATTCTTAACTCTGTTGTGTGTGTCATAATATTTACCTGTTCAAGACGAAGAAAAAAAACAACAGAAAGAATGAGAATAAAGGCCAGAACAGTTAATTATTCTATGAGAAGATGAACTGAGAGATGAGCCAAAAAAAAGGAGAACGATAATCCAGAGGAAATTGAGTGTCAACGCAAAGTATATTAAATCTAAGCTAGATATTTATCCGTTCAGTTAATCTACATCATTATTTTTACCCATAAAAGCATTTACTTTTACTGAATTAACATCCACTAGAAACAAGCATAATGATATGGGACATATCAAGTAAAAAAGAATTTGAACCATATCCCTCGTGTTAGATAATTGTAAGAATTGGGTAAAATATACCTTGAGCATGAGATACTTAATATATTTGTATTTGAGTTGAAGACCATATTAAATTGCCATTAACAAGATGACTAGTGTATTTAGGGAACTTCCTGGATAACACAAAACATGAGGATTAGGATTTGTGCACAAGAATAAGATTAAGGAGCCAGCACCATTTTGATGGGGGGCAATCTTGATCAACTATGATCAGATCTATCTCTAAGAATTTTATTGGAAACTTTGTCGAAGAATCTTGGCGTGCGGATCGTCGATGATGACTAGAAGGGATGCACGGGGTCGTAGATCTCATCAGATGTGGGAAGGTGCCCAGTGACAAAAATTGGCAGTCAATGTAGTTCAATTGTGTTTGTAGTTTTTTTTTAGAGCTCGGGAGAAGGAACATGAAGGTGGCTGTCTGTTTTAGCTTTGTCCGCTGTTTTTGGGAGGATAAGAGTTAGGTTTGCCTTAGTTTTGTCTTTTTGTGGAAAGTATGGCAGCGACTAGGGTGGTTGAAGGCTCAAAAGTGATCTAAGATCACAGATATGAAACTTGATTGAGAAAATGTGTGTGGTGGAGGGTTATTGAGATCTCTGTTGTTGACCGAGAGAAAGGATATCTTTTCTCGTTAGTTTACAATCTAAATCCAAATGTCACTCTCAAAATACTACCCACTGTTCATTCTGTAGTATAAAAGGCAATTCAATTTAAAATCCAATAGTCAAAATTTACCGACTGAAATTTCAACAAAATTTACAAGCCTTTCAATAGTCCTTTTCTATAATCCTCAAGTTAGAGAAAACCAGTTCACGTTATTGGCGAGGGTGATAGTTTTAATATTGGATTTCCTTTTCTACTACAGAATGAACAGTGAGTAGTATTTTGGGAGCAACATTTGGACTTTGCTTGTAGACTAACAAGAAATGATATCCTTCTCTCAACCAACAACAAAGATCTCAATAACCCTCCTCCACCACACACATTATTTCAATCAAGTGTCATTTTGTGGTCTTGCGAGAGATCACTTTTGAGCCTTCCACCACAGGTACCTCCTTGGACTCCACATCATGTCTCAATCCAAATTAAGGATCCTCCAAAAAAACAACTCGGAAAGCAAACTTGGGTATCCGTACCCAACCACAAGCATGTGCCTCAATTGCTCAAACCAAACTGAAGAAGGGGTGTTACGCCCAAAAATCAAACAATGGGAAGCAGTGAAGGGGTAGCGTGGCGTAGCTATTTCGTCAATCAACGTTACAAAAGGCGCTAGGCGGACTAGGCGTTTGAGCCAGCGCCTAGACGCCTAAGCGTATGTCTAGGCGGCGCCTAGGCATTTGGCTATTTTTAAATTATTTAATTATAATAATTAATAAAAATATATTAAATTCATATAAATTTGTAAAAAAAATAGATAGCAATCCTAGCTCCACAATAAACCATGCATACTTAAATGTTAAATAGCCAAAATAATAACTAACAATGTTATAGAAAACGCTAGGAGGCCTAGGTGTTGGACCCGTCGCCTAGAGCTTAGGAGATTTTTTTTATTTTTTAATTATAATAATTGATAGTAAATGTTAATGTTATAGAAAGCTTAGGTGTCGGATTGCTGTCTAGGTGGATTTCTTTCTTTATTTAAGCGATGGTCGAGGAATTTTTGCTGAAGGTGGAGGAGGTAGTGGAAGTGTTCATATTTAGAGGTTAACCGAGTTTGAAGGAGGTTGGAGGACTTAGGAGGCTACAACATAGAAAATCACGATTAAGGCTTAAAGGGTGCAGTCAACGTAAGCAGACAATATTTCCCTAAACACTCCCAAAACCTAATGGGCAGCCTAGGTACCGTCTAGGCGCTAGGCGCTAGTTAGGTGGCCAATGTACCACCGAGGTCTAGGCGTATGCCCAGGCAGACTAGACGGAGGTTTTTTAAAACAATGTCGTCAATGATGTTGTCAGGGGTAGTGAGGGTCGCAACAGATGGTGATAGATGGAGTTGCTAGACCGGGGAAGGGGAAGGAAACAGCCGGCAGCATTTTTTGCAGCAACAAATAAATTAGTTAAATGGGACTGTGCGACAGCAAGGTCGAGGATGGGCGCAGTGTGACGTCAGGCAATGTTGGGGCTGAGTGCCGAGATTTGGCGAATGGATTTTGGTAGTGAAGTTGGGAAAGTGAGCACCTGCGTGGTTGAGGAAGGGCTATTGTTTAGGGTCAGGGATTTGAAGAAAGAGATGGGTTCAGATTTTGAGAGGAGAGGCTCTGTTACCCATGTTATTTGGGAGAATTCAGAGAGATAAATTCTAAACACACAAGCAAAGTGTGACGCATAACTGAGAAACCCTACTAAAGACTAGAATAGACGGATGTGTTCAGATTTTGAGAGGAGAGGAGAGGCTCTGTTACCCATGTTATTTGAGAGAATTTAGAGAGGTAAGTTCTAAACACTTAAGCAGAGTGTGAGGCATAACTAAACAATTCCACTAAAGACTCCTCGTATAACAGCTGATACCATTTCTTTTCATAACATGAATGTTATGTTGACAACAAATATTTCCCATGGTCTGTGAATAGCGAGAGAAAGCAAGAGAGAGAGAGAGTCATTTGCTCATCATCAATGCATTCCTTACTAGGGGGTGTCCATTAGGTCGGGCTTGTTGAAGCTACCCAGACCTATAAAATGAGGGTCATTTTTCCATGTGAACACACCCAAACGAGTTTGAACGGTTTTAAACACAGGTAAAAGCAAATCATTGTAGGTTAAGATTTATCGGAAATCTACTTAAACCCATATCCTAACCCACCTGACTTGGACCCATACGCATAACCACCTAAAGCAATAGAAAGAATAGCACGTTATAAAATAATTTAGTACTTGTTGATATTATTGCCTTACTATGAGCAGATCAAGGTTAGAGAAAGCGCTAGACAACCTAGGAGTTGGACCCAACACGTAGAGTCTAGGCGGGATCTAGGTAGGGCCTAAGCAGCTTTCCTATTTTTTGTTTTTTAATTACACTTATTGATAGTAAACGTCAATGCTATAAAAAGCTTAACTACCGGACTGGCATCTGGGAGGATTTCTTTTTTCATTTAAGTGGTGATGGAGGAAGTTTTGCTAAAGCTCGACGGAGGTAGAAGAAGTGTTCATAGTTGGAGGCTACAGGAGTTTGGAGGAGGTCAGAGGACGTGGAGGCTGCAACGGAGGAAATCACGATCAAGGCCTAAAGGATGTAGTTCACGCTTCCTACGCACTCCTAAAACCTAGGTGAGTAGCCTAAGTACCGCCTAGGTGCTTGGTATTAGGCAGATAGCCTAGGTACCACCTAGGACTAGGCGTACGCTGGCTAGCCAGAGGCTTTTTGAAACATTAGAGCGGTTAATGCATTTGGCACATTATTTTAGTTTTTCATGAATAATGTTACTCGAACTTGAATTTAAACAAATTTAAAATGCTCCATAGTAGTTTAGGATATGGATTATGTGTGATGACCTTTTTTTTAGAGAATATTCACTTCGATGATCGCTATCGTATTTTCAGCAAAAACTCCTACTGATTGCAAGTCCAGAACGACTAGATTATTAACAGCAACAAATGCATATGTAATCATTTGAAATCTGCCTAAAGTCACCCATATCAACACAGCAACAAATGCATATGTAATCATTTGAAATCTGCCTAAAGTCACCCATATCAACCCACCCAATGAAACCCAACCTGAACCGGAATATTTTCCCAAACCCACCTGAGAAAGGTTAGCACATACATCACTATGAATCGGAGAGCTTTCTAACACCAAAATACCTATCCCGAAAAAATAGGTTCAGGAATGAAACTAGTCTAAACCCTATCGACCCAACCCATGAACAGCCCAACTTCTCATATACGCTCCTTGACATATATACTACATGAGAGTTATATTAAGACTTCTTCAAAATGAAACATATTGGTGATAACCTCTCCATCGCAAGTACACTACTCATGCCCAACGGCTTCAGTGATATTTTGAGATCTAAAACATATTATTTGAGAGCAATTTAAGAAGTTAATGCTCATATAGTGATAAGGCTAAAAGAGACTCTCAATTCATAAAAGAAGAAGGCTAAAGAATTAAATAGGAGAAATTCATTTCATTATATAAGAATTTAATCTATATATGTCTAAAGGCTCCAGTGATACTTAGAGATCTAAAACATATATATGAGAGCAATATAAGAAGTTAATATAATTATAAGGGTAAAAGAGACTCAATTTATAATAGAAGAAGGCTAAAGAATTAAATAGGAAAAACTGATTTTATTACATAAGAATTTAATCTATTCATCTTGACTGGATATAATCTCTCACAGAACCATTAATATAACAAGAAAGGCAAGAGAGGGAAAAAACAAAAAACTGTTTCCAATATAGTGTGGAAATTTTGGAGTTAACTGATTAATATTGGCATGTGAAAGATTCAAATATCAACTATAAAGTAAGCTGTACGATTTTCAAAGGTAGACAAAGAAAACAATAAATAGAAAACATACTGCATCAGATTTATCACAATGGAGTTTGGTCACTGAATCACCCCTGCCAAGTTCTTCTTCAAATCCGTAAGCAATGTTTGTTTTGGGTCCTAAATCCGGTTTGGGCCGATAATCAGGGATCCTTGTAGCAAGATTCAAAACACCGAATTTTGGATCTGTATATTGCTGAAATGGAACTGTAGCAAAAAATTTAGCAGCGTGCCTGGGTAAAAATTCTTCAAATAAACTAGATGAAGGCCAATCCTCCAGCTTAAGCATTTCAGGCCAACCATTTCCATGCATGCGACCTTCCATGTAACCTGTGAAGAACTGGCGTATATTAATCTCAACCTACAAAGTAGAAACGTCATAAAAACGTCATTAAATGCATGTACACAAATTACATAAACTACTGAAAATTAGTATATTTGGGATATCAACATGATCAATATGGACTATGTTAAATATCAAGTGCACTACAAGATGGTCTGTTTTTATCATTTCGGGCTCCATAAAAAAATTCTGTAGTACCTTCTAATTCGCCAAATAAGAGCACCTGCTTATATGATTCTCGACTTTATAAAACAAATAAATAAAAACCTTTTCCTGAAGCATCTTCTAACTCACTTCAAAAATTGACATCAAGATGTCGTTTGTCAAGGGGTTAAGGGAGAAGGTTTAAGGGGAAAGACTTAATTAGCTCTTCACGAGAGGTTAAGAATAATTTTTACTCTATTTGGATTTGATAATCAAAATGAAGGGTTAAGTTTTTGTATTCAGCAGATAAAGATGGTAAAGAGTTTAATTGCCATGAATATCCTAAAGTGTAAATAATTTTTAAAGTTTCATTTCTTATTTCGAGGAGTAACTCTTAACCCTCCTGATGCGAAACAATGTATGGGGTCTATCAGAATCGGCGATTTAATGTGAACAACGCACCGTTTCGCCAAAATTCATGATTCGGCAGGAAATTAATTAAAAAACAATTAATGTGACGGATGAATTTTAACAAGATATGTAATGATAATCATGAACAATTCCAATCTCAAATAATTTAATCGCAGTATTCATTATCATTTTGCAAAGTTCTAAATCAATATCCGAATTGCAACAGTCACATGTCCAGTTACGCTCAACTCACAGTTATAATCTAAGCAGTGAATATATGATAATAGTTTAGAGATGTATTACTCATGCAATTAACTAATAAAGTGAGGTTAACAGAAACATAATAGAACGAAATTATACCATCGTCGGACTGAACATCATATCCAAATGAATTGGACTCGGGTCTGATCAACAAACCAGATCCGAAGTCTTCTCTGTGAGTACTTCGGAGAGAGGCGAAGCGGACAGCGGGTCTATTCGACGATGAGGGCGAACGACGAGTGGGAGCGAGATCTGATGACGACGAGGGCGACGATGAGAGGGCACGAGCGGCGACGCTGTCGACAGTGTAGCTCAGGGCGCTGGTCGACAGTGGTGACTGAGGACGACGGCGAGGTCCTCGGGTGTGATGAAGAGCGGAGGAGGGGAGGCTGTGGATGGCGGGACAGAACGGGAGGCGAGGAGGCTTCGGTGCGAGGCCGGAACGAACAGGAGGGAGGAGGCTTTCGGTGGACGCGCGAATAAGTCTGCCTAGCGAGAGTGTTGCCGCCGACTGTTGTGATAGATGGATGGAGCGCGCTAGTCGTGATGGAATGGGTACGGCTGCTGAGGAGGCCTGGTGCTAGAGAACGGCGACTGAAGAGGCGTCCTGTCGCTGCGTGGTGGTTTGTTGAAGGGCCGACGGCGGGGGCTGACGGTCGGTTGCTATGCTGAAGAGGTGTCGTTGGCGGTGACTTTTTTTGATAGCAGAAGGTATCTGGGGAGGTTGAGTCGCGGCGTTTTGTGGAGGAGAAGGCCACAGGCGATGAGGCGGTTGCTGGAGGAGAGAAACTCACCAGAGGGGTTAATGTGGGCGTGACGGCTGGGCGAGGGGAATTAGATCTAGGGTTTTTTTGGTAATGAGTGGTGGAGAGGGATCTATGAGGGGAATGGAGGGATGGATGGATTTGGGGATAAGTAACTAGGGTTTCACACACCTAGAATTGGCATTTGGGTTTCACACACCAAATACAAAGAAATTCTCATTTAAGAATAACTTAATTTTCATTCAATAATTCATTTCTTCTCAAGTCTCATACAACCTTACTATAAAGAAAACTACTACGTGCACACAACGTGTAAACAAAATGGAAACAAATAAAAATCCCTCAAATCTCTCATTGAATAACTACTAAATTGAACAACAATTCAAAATTTAAAAATTCAAATTTCAAAAATTAAAACTAAGCTAATATGGAAGATTTTCAATTCTTGTTCTCATTACCTCCTCTTCAGGCAGATTTGTTAATCCCTCTAAATGAGTGGTTAACTAATTTCTTGTAAAGCGTTTGTTAACCCTTTAACCAAATTAACTCATTGGGATAGCTAAGGAGGGGTTAAACCCCCTTAACACTTCACCTAACACCTTGCCAAACAAAGTCCAAATGTCTAGAACTAGTAGGTTGGCACATTTGAAGGTATCAAATCCACAACCCACGTATCCTCCAGGCAAAACTACTGAAAACATAATAGGGTAAAGAAAAAGGTGCATATATGATCATCAATTTGGCCTTTTGATATATTACTTCAAGAACAATGAGCATATACTATATAGTAGTGACAAGTTTTAGACCTCTACAGAAACAAAAGGCATTAACTAGGATAGTCAAACAACAATGCTTATAGGAACAATGTTAGATAAAACTTCCCCCTTATGGAATAGTTTACAGATAAAAAAGGAACTAATTAATATACCACCATTAAAGGTAAACCGTCTAGGTGATTGCGATGAATAACTGCTATATTCAAGTGGAAGAAATTGAAAATAAGAAGTCGGAACTTCTTTTGCAAGAAAAAACTAGAGAAAGATGTAATCATGATGGGATTACTGTAAATCCTACATATTGTTATGTAGACCGAACCCTATAACTAGGAAAGAGAATATTTAACATACTCTTTAAAAAACAGTGCAACAACTCTAGATGCAGCAAACATGAGCATAAAAATGAGGCTTTCATCAAATTAGATACTGATAATACATTTTTCTAAATGAACCAAAACTAATTACAGCCAAAGATTCAAAGTGTGATTACACTATAGATCAACAAAATTTTAAATATAGAATTATATGCACCATAAACTAGGTCCAAAATAATTTACTGACATACAATAAGTATTCTACTGATATTATATACACGACCTTTTGCTACCATGTCAAATAACCAGCCTCTCAAATAAGCATTTGCTATAATTGAAAAAATGGATGATGTGGCAAACCATTTTGATAAAGCGCGCTAGTCACATTGGCATTGATGGCCCTCACTACTACTATCTCTTGGCAGCTCATTTTGATAAACGATCTTCCAATCTAAATAGCAAGGGTAAAGACATGGGATAGGGGTACGACATGGACATGGATGCTGGACACTGCAATTCTTCGAAAAGGATGCAGCCACACAGCAACCTCATAACATGAATTTAGATTGCGTATAATAATAATAACTGGATTCTACATAACATGCACACGTACAATTGTCCACGCATTCACGAGTCTAAACAACTTTTCTAATAATATAAAACATATAATGATTACAAATATGCTAAATTTTGACCTAGCATAACAGCAAAAGGAATATGACTTGTCACTTCAACTTTATGCAACATGGTATATATATCTAAACACAGTTTTATACAAGCCAATTTTTATAGCATTTTTCCTCTGTAATCTTTGGTGCACAAATGAATATAAATAGATTTCTCAAACATATAAAATGATTAAAACCGTATGTGAAGATGAGATATATTCCAAAGTATTTGGCAAGTGTTTTAAATTAAAGCGCTTGTCATACAATTAAAGTCGCATTTAATCAAGTGCAAGCACATATCAGCAGGGGGGTAGGATTGTCCGGTATCAATACAGCTTCGATGATAGAAGTACCTATGCTACATAGTTGTATACTCATATTCAGTATCCCGTTAATATAATTAAGTTGGAATTAAAAAAGTAAATGATGGTCATATGCAACTAAATTGCAGTACATAAGATCAAAAACATAAGAGGAAAAAGCAGGCCTACCTCACACCAATCGAAGCAGTCAATAGCTTTCACTGTGCTTCCCTTGTCTTTAAACTTCTGCATCATTCTTTTGCTAATAGTCCTCCAGATGACCATCGGGTCCCAACTAAGTCCAGTTGCTTTCTTAAGCACACCTCTAACTACTATAGGCTCACCCCTAACCCAGTGCTTTTGAAAGTGTTCCATATCATCATCTTCTAAATCACTTGCATTTGGACAATACAAAAAGTTATCATTGCTGTTTGCCCGAACTGCAGCTTGACGCGTACCAGAGTTGTTTAGTTTATCTGCTGCAGACGAACAATTTGGGAAGCATATGGAACAACCTGGAGACATATCACCGCATAAGAATTGACTGCTAGCAGTTAATTCATCAGCTTCCTTGAGAAGTTTAGCTAACCAATTAGCTTTAAGGTTGCGCTTCAGCTTAAGGGTACCATCACCACAGCCACCATATTCTTTTGGTGGGCATGGAATGCTACCATCATCATTAGCCCTCCACTTAGGACATTGGTCAGGTGAAGTGATAATGAGTTTTTTTCTTGCAGGTAAATCCTGCCTCTCCCATCCAGACCATTTCTGTGGTAGAGGTTTTATTCCTTTGAAATTCGCATCATGACATTGACCTTTGTTCATGTAATATAAGTCAATTCCATCTGCTTCAATACCACCGGGCTGACGACCTTCGCGTAATTCTTGACAGCATGTCAGGCAGAGATCATAGCGACAATGAAAACAGCTTCTATGCAAGTCAACAATGGATGTGCAACAATTGTCACTGTGGACAATGTAACTTGGGAATCACCAAACTAAACATTTCAAGGTAAATCTACGCAAAATACAGAATGAAGAGCTACATGCAAAAACTAAAAGCACTAGGAGATGACCACAACTTTTGAATTGAGTTCTATACAAAATGTCTTAAGGAAAGCAACATGATCGTTATTTTAGTGAGGAATAGGACAAGATTTTAGCTCAACAATAAAGTTGGTGCTTAATTAAGCATAGATTCTTCAAAAGGCCTTAGTACTATGCTTCAGCTCAATGACCAAGACAACATCTACTGAAAGATAGAAAGAATAAAAGAACAACTAAGTGTTTACCTGATCTATTTGGGTTATCCACAGGAGTCAACAGAAAAAGAAGACAACCATCAATTTTGCTGTGGTGTCATTATCAACATAAAACATAGCATACACCACTTTTTCATGGGACGACTAGTAAAAGGATAAACATCCAGGACTAACAGGAGAACAGATTGTCAAAATAATCTATGTATGAAGCTTAATAAAACTTTTCCAAGTTAACAATTGTATAAAAAGGAAAAATTAACAACTTTAATATTTTCTATCAAGGCTGAAAAGAGTGAAATGCATCATTAACAGATAATTTCATGTCCGCTTTGCATGTTGAAATGCTGATTCAATGTCAACTGTCAATCTACAGGTATTTAATGTGAAACCGCAATACAACAAATGAGATGAGTGCAATCAGTAGGTGATCCGACCTACGTGCCCTGGGAGAACATAACATTAACTATAGTTGAGAGGCGCCAAAGTACTTCATATTTTTATTCAAATGAAAAGTTAAGTGTCAAGATAACAGCAAGAACCTCTCTGACTTATAGATTCCAAAATCAAGGATGAGCAAAACATATAGATTTGGAACGTAACAAATAATGAAATAAGTAAACAACAACAAAAGTTAAAAACAATTACAAATATAAGGTAGGATTGATTCATTAAATATATATGCTTCACGATATCTTGTGAAATAACTTATATACAATCGACATCATGGGTAGATGGTACTGTACCAATATATTCGCTCCTCTTTGTCAAGTTTAATCCTTTCTACATCCGTAATATTTAATTTTTCACCTATAGGAAAAGAAAAAATGTAAAAGGGCACAATTTCTTCAAAATAGTCAAACAAGGTAGGCTACTCAGCAAAGGAACATTGTTCTTAATTACCTTGTATTTTGGCTTCCATATCTAACTCTAGGTTATGCTCCTCATGGATTTGTCTGAGAAGAGGCAAGAGATTATTCAACAAGCAGAGTAGCCACTTTAGCTTAACTCTGTCATTTGCTTCCTTCCTGTTAATCTGCAACAAGTTTATATGTTTGCACTCAGATAAAACAGCCACTGTACGTAATAGAAATAAGCTAAAGGCGTGTACCGGCAAGAGAATATGCTCGCGGAGACATTGTTTACAATTACAGGTACCACGACAAACTGGACAGATATGCTGAAGATCTTCCCTTGTTTGCCTGGGATACCTTTATATTCAAATAGAATTGAGTTAATTAGAAGGAAAATTGTTAGTGAAAAAGTAAAAGAACTAAAACTTAGGTGCTTTAGAAGGTAGGTTCCAGTAAATATACTTAGGCTGTGTTTTGTAACTCCAAAGAACTATTCTAATGCATACGAGAACGGTCCCAAAACTAGTTTTTAGTTTGGCAAAACTTGGGTCAGTTTTGAACTAGTTTTTTTTTTTTTTTTAGTTCAAATCCTAGTCCTTAACAAAGTTCTTTTTTGGATTAACCCCCATATGGACCAGCTCTAGCCTAGTTAAGCAAAAACTAGTTCAAACCCAATCCAACTTTTGAAATTGCCAAACACAAGATTAGGCTCAGAGACATTATAGTTTAAAAAACATGGACAACATAAGTTCGATACGAAGCAGTTGCATGATATAACATCCTTGTAATTCTGAACATGCAAAAAAATTTATTCTAATATGTTCCATGAGGAACAAGAAAGACTGAATGTTAAATCTCTGTTAACATACCAGTTAGCAAGGCAGCTAAAGCAATATCGTACGGTTTTGCAGTTCGAGCAAATAACAATATTTACTTCATAATATTGCTGGCATTGGTGGCATGTTAGACCCTTCTCCTTCTTGTTAATGGTGACAATATCCTAGAGAGTAAGTCTTGTTAGAATACAAATTGTTTGTTTAATAATAATGGAAGAAAAGATGTAAGATGAGAAAAATTAACAAACCAGACAGTAAGGGATGGCCAACAAATTTCAACTTCACAAATCAATATCTAGAAAAACAATGTAACAGGAGCTTCCAATTCGACATAACTTTTAATGAGCCCAGGAAACTGTTAGGAAACTAGACAAACTAGATATCTGGTAAAGCACCAAAATCAGTCATACAATGGCTATTTACCTACAGCTAATAGACACGGAAATGAGTGTCATACCACGACACAAACACAGGGTATCAGAAAGATATTTTCTGAAATTCACACAAACATATATGTGTAATGCATCTAAATACATGTATCTTAGGCTTCTATACCTATGTGCATATTGTTAGTCATATATGAAAAAACCTAATGTCAGTAAAGTAACTCATGGAACAATAAGCTTTTATGCCAGAAGGAGCAAAACATACTCCATTTTGTATATAGTTGAAATTAATAATAGTTTACAAATATGTAAGGGTAAGTCATGGAAGGAGACAGTATTGTGTGCACGCGCCAAATTTTCAATGAATCCTATATATTATATCTTTGAAATTCTTATCTGCGGGGGTAAGCTAAGTATTGCAACCCTGAAATGTTCAAGGTGTCCAATAAAGAATCCAAGACTTTCGGCCTGCAAGCCAAATTATAAGTAAAATAGGGCTTATACCAAATTGCTCGCCAATGATCTGGTTGGATTTCCATAAAACGTATAGATTGCAGGTACGGAATGGTACTGCTGGTAACATGGTTTAACTATCACATAAGAAGCCCAAGCTAAATTATCCTTTACAAAATATTCTAGAAAATTGAGAGTGGAGTTTACAATAGGGAATTGTCTCGAATATTTGTTAGATAATGACTGATAACAGACAAACTGAAAACTGCAGACCACTTTTCTAGATGTCATGATAACATATTCAAACACGAATAGAGAAATGTGCTAGGATAAAAAAGATAAGAGAAAAGGAATGAAGGGACAGTGACAGGAGACAGAAATTCCAGAAAGTGGAATAGTGCCATTTATGGCAGCTATGAATGATGCCCTACCTCTAGATTAATAACATAAGGTCACATTAAAAAAAGCAATGGAAATCAGCCTATCATAATGAATCAGGTCTCATCAGGCGTTTTGGGGGCAGGTGAAGAAATTAATGGACAAAACTAGGACATTCTTCCTGGTTGATTAATACGTCAATATTGTTTTATCAGTTAACTCCAGCAACAAATTTCAGGTAAAAAAGGCACTGATGAGAAAGTATTAGCTGAATAAAATTTACACATACAAATTATAAGATGAATCTCTGAGGTTTCAAATTCATTTGGAGAACACAGTGTTTTCGCCAACATAATTAGCAGACAAGCACTAGCAAGCATTACGACTGGACCGACTGGTGCATATGTATCATCACAGATATCATGTCAGGGAGATTGTCAGCATATAGTTAAGAAACATAAATTATACTTTTGGATTTCAAAAGCAAAAGAGGAGACAGAGAGATGTATAGCACCCTCCTTCCACCTTTGTTGCCCACGCTTCTCCAATCCAAACATATTTTCTGTAACTTAGTTAACTTTCATCGTGATATGACCATGACTATGTTTTCTTCATATATGCACTTAAATTTTTCTATTAATTTAAATTTTATATCTTTGTAACTAATGTTATAAAAATAAGTTATTCAGATTTAAGATTCTCTGCCCATTTTACACCTCGATATTCACCTAGGATAAATTATTATTTAGGGTATGATAAGCTTTTTCTTAGTACTAGAGAAAACTGTTATTCTTCTTTTGATGTTGTCAAAACACTTGTTTCCTCTAGGTACAACTTGTTAAAACATTTTTCTTAACATGTCGAATCTGCTAACCTCCAAAACAAACATGCTTGCCCAAGCCCCGAGAGTGTCCCGTCATCCATAAGGCCATCCGAAAATCTACTCAAACTAGGTGAGGTCTTGACAACTAAATACTCGACCAACTTCTCGGAGCGACTTCCTAGACTGCCACCTCTATGGATCTATGCATGAAGGCCAAGTGTAGCTCATTAACCCTTTGGGGCGTCGCTAGTTGATTAGATAACACACTGTGCCTCCTTCCCAGATCACAGCCAATAGAGGCCTGTCGAGAAAGAAAATATGTTGCTCCACATCAAATCTAGGTACAATGATCTCATTGTTCTTCTGCAACAAATACTATGACACTGCTAAGCGAGGGGAGGTTCCTTTTGGAAGTTGAGGATCAATTCAGTATCATGCTCAGACCAAAGGGAGGAAGGAAAATCGTCATGAGCCACATTGACAATAAGGTAGAACCTCATCATCCTTAATATAGAAGACTGCGCTCTTTATTTCAATTTCCTATTTTGCCAAAGTCCAAACCCTCTTTTATAATAGCTTCTTTTCCTTTCAATCAAGGTTATCGATAGCGGATAGCGTCGCGTAGCGGTGAGGCATCGCTAAGGCTATTTGGGGTTATTGAGGTAAAATAACGGTCAAAAGCGCAAAAGTAAATAGCGGTCTAATTTAGATATGCGTAAATACTAAAAAAAGATTAAAGAAAAATCTAGAAAATCTAAAAGTGCATATTTGATGATTTAAAGATATTCTAAACATAATAAGATGATCATCTGTTTTCCATGATCGAAAGCTTGGATGTGCAGTCTCTGGCGTAGTAATTTTACCAGTAAGGTGTCCATCTTTGCCTCTGCCGTACACAAACATGAATACTGATTGAGACCATTGCAGAAAGTTTTGGCCATTGAGTTTGTAATTGGTGATGAGATGTGAAGATGAATCGGGAATAGGAGAGACTGCAGGAGTGGGCGCAGTGCTCGACGTAACTTCTAAGGTAGAGGAATTAAAAGTCATGCCGTATTTGGTCATGGTGATAAAGAGCAAGAGAGAATTGCTCTGACGATGAGGAAGCAAGAAGAGCTAGGGTTTAGGAACCCGTTGTAATACCATGAAGAAATTATGAATTTTCTTGTTATTTTTAAAAATATATTTACAGTCTAATATATAGAACAATGGACTGGCATACCATATCCTAAAATAGGAAACTGAATTCCTACAAATCAGGAATTAGAAACCACTTTCTGATTTCCTATATCAGTAAGGTAAATAATATCTTCTAAATAAAGCAACAAAATATATTTACATAAAATATCTCCTATTTCCACACTATTCCATCAAGGGATGATGAGGGAAGGATGGTGCAACTGAAACGCGATAGCTTGCATTAATTGATCCTCAAAGGTAACTAAGATGTTTTTGCATGGACGCCCTCCAACATGTCAAGTGTATATCCAGACATTTTCACCCATAGACTTAATGTCAATGCAATATGACGCCCGTCAAGAAAAAAATTGGACATCAAAGAAAAAAAATTGAACATCAAAGAAGTCAAAGCCCTTTCTAAGAAAGTTAAGTCAAAGCCCTTTGTAAGAAAGTTGACTAACTTCTAGGAGCAAGCTTCATCAACGAGGTCTAATACCCAAAGTAGCTCACCGATATTGGATAGCAAAGAATGGTAAATGGCATACATACATGGCCTTCACTAAACAAAACATGATATGCTCAAAGGACTGCTTCCAAACTTCATCACCAAAGGAAAGTCCTTCAGATAGTAATTGAGGTATCCAAATATAATTAGATCTAAATGTCTCTTGAAGATGAAAAGGCCACCTTCGTCAAAGACCAAGGTACTTTTCATTAAAAGGTCATGACCTTTTCATGTAGAAAGTGCCCTCTACCTAACATAAGATGGCCAACAAGGTCTTCAAGAGCCAGATATGTTGGAACGTAGAGGTAAATATAGATGAGATTTTGGTTAAATCTCACACAAATGCCTAACACATTACCGACTTGGAGATCTTTCATGTACTCAAGAAGTATCTGATGGGTTGAATGTAACCAAGTGTGCCTTCTGCATGACCTTGGGGAAGTTCTGCAACCTTAGTATTATGAGCTGTGTGATCGAGGTCAACCCGAAAAAGGTCATGATGTTGAATAGGAGGAATATTTCCTAGGAGATTTTCGTATATATCTCTAGGAAAGATATATATTTTGAATAGAAGATATTCGGTTTTAACCAACCAGATATTTAGGGATGAGAGAGAATCAGAAAAATCAGGATTATTGTTAGTGTACAGTTATAATTTCCTTTTTTAGCCTTTTGTTAGTGTACAGTTATAATTTCCTTTTTTAGCCTTATGTATTTTTTTCTATTTAAGTAGCAGCTTTGTAACTCATAAATTGCGGCAATATATAGAAAAGAATCAACTTTCTGGGTTTTTTCTAGTTTTTTAACTTAGTATCAGAGCGAACAGAAAAACCCTAGCCGAATTTTCTAATCAGCCTTTCACCATGTCTGACAACTTCTGAATCCACCACCTCCTCCACCAGCCAAATAAAACCCCATTATCCTCGGACTTCAAACTCTAAATCGCACTCTGTTTAGATTACCACAATCCGATTGAATGGAGAGAATTTTCTTCGCTGGTCTCAATCCGTGAGGATGTATATTAGAGGCAAGGGCAAGATCGGCTACTTAACAGGAGAAAAGAAGGAACCAGAGGATCTATCGTATTCAACCTGGGATGCAGAGAACTCAATGGTGATGACTTGGCTGGTTAATTCTATGGAAGAAGACACCAGTTCTAATTACATGTGTTATCACATAGCAAAAGAACTATGGGAGAATGTCAACCAGATGTATTCAGACCTGGGAAATCAATCCCAACTCTATGAATTGACGCTGAAACTTGGAGAGATTCGCCAGGGGAAAGACAGCGTTACAAAATACTTCAACTCATTGAAGCGGCTATGGCAGGACCTTGATTTGTTCAATAATTATGAGTAGAAATCGCCTGAGGATTGCAATCAGTACAAAAAAACCATGGAAGACAATCGCATCTTCAAATTCCTCATTGGACTCAATGTCGAGTTTGATGAAGTGAGAGGCAGAATTATTGGGAGACAACCACTGCCCTCGATTGGTGAGGTTTTTTCTGAGGTTCGAAGGGAAGAGAGTCGAAGGCTGGTTATGCTTGGAAGAAAGGAGTTCATTGGCGTTGTTGAAACATCTACCTTAATGACATCTGAAGCCAATATTGGCCAAAAATGTGATGAGAGGCCCCGTGTGTGGTGTGATCACTGCAATAAACCTCGTCATACTCGAGAGAATTGCTGGAAGATTCATGGAAAGCCAGCCAATTGGAAGAGTAAACAAGAAGGCAGGTCATAGGAAGGTAGAAACACTTGTGCACTAACAGCCCATGAAGTTGAATTGTTCCCTTTTAGTAAGGAACAGGTAGAAGACCTTCTAAAATTGTTGAAATCCGCTTCCACGTCTAGTACTCCTAATGCTTCTCTTGCTTAAACAGGTAAAAAACCAAGAGCCCTATTTTGTCGTTCTAATTCTCATGCCACCCCATGGATCATTGATTCTGGGGTTTCAGACCATTTGACAAGTTTTTCAAATTTGTTTCAAACTTACTAACCCTGTTCTGGTTCTGAACAAATCAGAATAGTTGATGATTCTTTTTCTCCTATTGCAGGCAAAGGTTTGGTCAAACTCTCTTCCTCCATTAATCTAAACTATGTCCTACATGTTCCAAAACTTGCTTGTAACCTGTTGTCAGTAAATCATCCAAAGACTCTAATTGTCATGTTATTTTCTTTGAATCCCACTGTGAATTTCAGGATCAGAACTCAGGGAGGATAATTGACAGTGCTAAGATGATAGATGGTCTCTACTATTTTGAAGATGATATTTCTAAAAATAAAAGGGCTCAAGGACTAAGTAGTATCGGTTCTATCCCGGTTAGAGAACAAATTATGTTATGGCATTTTAGACTAGGGCATCCTAGTTTTTCCTATCTAAGAAAATTATTTCCTACTTTGTTTAAAGGATTGGATTGTTCATCTTTGTATTGTGAGAACTTCCTATCTAAGAAAATTATTTCCTACTTTGTTTAAAGGATTGGATTGTTCATCTTTGTATTGTGAGAACTGTTTTTTATCAAAAAGTTATCGTGCTATTGTTTAAAGGATTGGATTGTTCATCTTTGTATTGTGAGAACTGTTTTTTATCAAAAAGTTATCGTGCTACTTATTCACCCCAACCTTATCAAGCTTCAAAACGGTTTTATCTAATACATATTGATGTTTGAGGCCCTTCTAAGGTTACAACTCTTTCTGAAAAACAATGGTTTGTGACATTTATTGATGATCACACTCGTTTGTGCTGGCTCTACTTAATGCACAAAAAATCCGAGGTTGAAAAATTATTTAAAGACTTTTACATGTTAATTGAAAATCAATTTCAAACAAAAATTGGCATCCTTCATATAGATAATGGAACTGAATATTTTAAAGAAGTCTTAGGAAGTTTTTTAACAGAAAAAGGAATTTTTCATCAGTCTACATGTGTTAACACACCTCAACAAAACGGAATTGCTGAAAGAAAAAATAAGCATTTACTTGAAGTTTCTCGTGCCATTATGTTTTTTATGAATGTTCCTAAATACTTATGGGGTGATGTCGTCCTAACAGATCATATCTAATCAATAGGATGCCTACCCGTGTTCTTAACTTTGCTACACCCCTTGAAAGTCTCAAAAAAAAATTTTGAAACTCAGATTTACTCTAATCTACCTTTAAAAGTTTTTGGATGTACTTTGTTTGTCCATTTACCTAGCAAAGTTCGGTCTAAGTTAGATCCTCGAGCTAAAAAATGTATTTTTGTTGGATATGCTCCAAATAAAAAAGGATACAAATGTTTAAATCCTAAAACAAAAAACTTTTTATCAGTATGGATGTCTCTTTCATTGAAAACCAACCCTATTTTCAGAAAAATTTGCTTCAGGGGGAGAATAAGAGTGAAGAAAATTTTTGGGAGAATTCTGATATTCCCTTACTTAAAACCATTGTCTCACATCCTAATACCTTGGACACAGATATCTTTAAACAAGGCCAAAAATTAGATACCATTGATATTAATTTGCAAACATAATTACATCTTCAACAGGGGAAGAAATATTACCTGTTCAGACAACCTCAAATCCTGAGCTCCTAGTTTATAGCAGGAGAAAGACTCTTCAAAAGAGTAGAGAGCCTACTATTATATCAAAGCAAGGCCAATCAGAGGTCCCGAGTGATGACTCACTGATTACTCAAGGTACTCAAAATTCTAACTTGCCTGCAATTGTCCCTAATAATATAGAATTGTCTAGTTAAGTTCCTGACAATTCTAATCTGGCTATAGCCCTTAGAAAAGGAACCCGAACCTGTACCCAGCATCCCATTGCAAAATTCTTATCTTATGAAAAATTGTCCCATAAACATAAAGCTTTCACTTCCAATATCTCTCACTTGTTTGTTCCGAGAAATATTCAGGAAGTACTAGATGATCCGAACTGGAAGTCAGCAGTGTTAGAAGAGATGAATGCACTAAAAGGCAGCAAAACATGGGAGGTAGTTGACTTGCCCAGAGGAAAAAAGATTGTTAGGTGCAAATGGTTTACCATCAAGAGTAAAGCTGATAAAAGTATGGAAAGGTATAAAGCAAGACTTGTGGCAAAAGGTTTTACACAAACCTATGGCATTGATTATCAAGAGACATTCACTCCCGTAGCAAAGATCAATTCTATCCGAGTCTTACTGTCATTGGCCGTCAACTTCAACTGGGCATTACAACAGTTAGACATAAAAAATGCTTTTTTGAATGGAGATTTGGAAGAAGTATTTATGAGCCTAC